GTGTGTATGTGTGTGTGTGTGTGTGTGTGTGTGTGTGTGCATGCATTTCTCTCTCTGGTTATTACATGTGCACATATACACACATAGATATGCATATAGAAGTTCCAAATAAAGGGAACCTAAAGTGAAATAAGCTAACACCATTTAGCATTAATTTTGCTTCAGGTTTGTGACCAAGTCCCTGACTGCGCCGACCGGTCCGACGAATCCCTCTGCGGATCATGCACCTTCACCTTCAACATGTGCGGCTACCAGTCCGTCTCGACCGGTTCCCTCAACTCCGACTTCCGGTGGCGTATCGGAAATAACAACACCTTGATGCAAGACATCCATCTCGGGAACGACTATACGCAAGGTAGTGTTAGTTGATCTCACAATTAGAAATCTATTAATTTGATAACACTAATATCGCTACCTTAGAATTACAAAGTACTATCTGACATTTTTCGCCCTTTTGAGTTACTAAGACCATGAGGTTAGAAACCAAATGTTCTTTTTGTAAAATTAGTCGGAGTCGTTATCAAGATATGCAAAGAACTGCATTCAAAAAGTTTGAAATATTATAAAACTCAGAAATCTTTTACGTCAAATTTCTCAAAACTAGGTACTGAGCAGACAGACCTTTGTAATTCTAAGGTAGCGATATGCAATGCACTTGTGGTCAGTTAGTCTACTGGCGTCGATATGTAACGGTTACATGCTTTGCGAGAAAAAAAGGACACGTCCTTTAGTGTCAAATAGGGAAAAAAGTAACATAGAAAGATTAGAGGGAAAGAACAGTGGCGCCCTCCAACCACCTGCGTGATGTCGATTGCGGCGTTTAATACCCACAATCAAAACGATACAATTACATCACTTACGTCCTCTTGGGCTAGTAGGACGGCATGGTTCACTTTTCAAATTACATCATCAAGCTGAATATATTTCACCAAGACACTCCTTTTTCATTCTCATAATGTTAATGTCGCATAACAATAACTAATTCTGACAATACCACAACATTCCTAGTCATCTGCCGGCAGCACGACTGTGTCTGTCAGGGCTAGCATGTTTTGGCTCAACAAAACACTCTAAAGATTCGCTTGTTTTGTTTGAGTAAGAAGCACATCGACACAATGATGGTCATTTAAAAGGGAAAAAGCAAGACAGACAGACAGACAGACAGACAGAAAAATAGAGGGAAAGTAAAGATATAGGAACAACTAGTGGCGCCCTCCGTCAACCTGCACGGTAGTGGATCAGTGACGACCAATCTTATTGCCTGCGAACAGACACTGCTTTAGCGTGTCGGTGGCCAAGTGGAGGGTTAAGCTCGGTCCTCAGTTCGGTCCGATGTTGTGTCCTTGGCTTATAATTAAACTGCATTTTCTACATCAGTCTGGAAAAACTATTACAATAGCTTGGCTTCCAAGCCATGTAGGCATTGATGGCAACGAAGCCGTTGACCAATTTGCCAAAGAATCTCTTAAACTACCTGAAAACAAAAATAGTAAAATCGCTTTCTCTGACATGAAACCGAGAGTAAAAGAACACACACATCCCCCTGGTCCCAAATTTGGAATCAACAAATACACAACAAACTCCATTCAACCAAAACTTGCGCCCAGGAAACCACTGTCTTTCCTACGAAGAGAAAAAGTAATTTTTACCAGATTAAAGATAGAGCACACGCACGCTACGTACAAAAATTTGCTCGAAGGAGAGGAAGCTCCTTTTTGCGTGGCGTGCAACACGGATTCCACAGTTCGGCACATCATAACGGAATGTGTCGAATTTAATGATAAGCGTAAGAAATATTTTAAATGTAAAGGTATCAAGACCCTTTTTGACATTGTAGACCCTAAAAAAAATTAAGTTATGTAAAAGAAATTGGACTATTTAATAGAATATGAAAATATATAGTTATCGTTATCGGTGTATATATTATACATACACTTAAATTCATATTGTATATACAAATGTTAACAAATTCACAATATTTCCAAATTTTTAAAATAAATGTCTGTCCGTCATTTTAGCATAATGAGAATAGTGTGACCATGTACGGTTGCGAGCTCCGAAGGACTCTTACTAAAACACTTCTGATTTTGTTGCGGTCAAACCTGTTGGCGCTTAAATGACCAAAATTGTGTCGATCGTGCCGTAAAACATCTACTCAATCAATCATTGTGTCCTTGGTAAAGGCACTTTACACGAATCACCCCATTCATGAGCTCGGTCCTTTCGAAGGTGGACGTTTAACTCGGAGGTCCCGCTCCTTTGTTAACCTAATAGTGTAGATAGGGACGTAAAACCTCTATACCATTTTTTTCACATTGCTTTAGTTCTTTATAAAACCATGCTTGTCAGTCGCTCTTGTGAGTTTATTGGGGTCGAGACGCACGTACAGTTAAGACTATAATATAATAAGATTAAAAAGCAAAACTTTACTTACTTTTTTCTTCCGCTTGTACCCTGGGGTGTCGCGGGGAGACACATGCGTCTGTCTGCAGCAAGTCGTGTGGCCTGTAGGAGGGGCATCCCATGATCTTTAAGGGTGTCTGCCACAGATTCAAAAAGCAAGACGGACAGGTCAAAAACAACACATGGAGAGGTCATTCATCAATCTATATGTTTAATGCCTCTCAACACTGTAGGGTTACTTAAGAGGATGGAGAGCATTAACCCCTAACACCCCCCCTCTAAAAGAGTAAGAATTAACCCCTGACCCCCCTAACCCCCCCCCCCCCCCCACCAAAGTAAACAAACAAACAAACCCAACAATAATCATAAATAAATGAAGAAAGAAAGAAAGAAAGAAGTAAATAAATAAATAAATACATTTAAAAATGAATAAAGGATAACAAAACCAAACAAAACCAAACAAAAAGAACGAAAAGAAGTTCAGAAAGACTTGTTTGGGGTTCAAACCATGGCCACCCACCCCGTAGCTCAGCACGCTACCAACCTAGCTACCAGTACGTCAGTACACCCAGATGAAGAGTAAAGACGGAGGACTTATCAATAATATTGAGCGCCCTCTAGCCAAGCACACGAAGTACCTGCTTATCTTCCGACTTTATGGGCCCTAAAAACAAGCTAGCAACTCGCTACCTCAGAAGTACAAAGTTCTATCTTACATTTTGGTAGTGCTGGGCGGCTAGGTTCTCGACTACTGGCAGGTAGGAATCGTAGGAATCGACTCCCGACCCAATTACTTACTTTCTAATGATGTTTTTTTTCCCGATGGTTACCTAGTACTGCTGGGCGGCTAGGTTCCCGATTCTTGAAAGCTAGGAGTAGTAGGAACCGACTCCAAACCCAATTACTTACTTTCTAATGATGTGATTTCTTCCGGAGGTTATCTGGTTGGCTCCGAACATCTTCGGGATTTAGGATAACCTTGATTCCGGAACACTACGAAGCATCAATTTTTATTTTTTAAAAACAAATTCTTCAAAAAAAGATTTTAATGAAAAAAGTAACTGGTAATCGCTGGTTTACGTAAACAAAAGGAACTTTTCTTCCGTAGTATTGATCGTGGGAATCGTTTCCGGACTCGATTCTGCGCCCAGCTCTATTACCTAGTTGGCTCCGAACATCTGCAGGATTTAGGGTAACCCTGATTTCGGAACACTGCCAAGCATCAACTTTTCTTTTTCAAAAATAAATTCTTTAAAAACGGAAGAAGATTTAAATGATTAAAGTAACTACTGACCGTTGGTTTACGTAAAAAGAAGGCGGGACTTTTCTTCCGTAGCATAAATCGCGGGAACCGTTTCCGGAATATATTCTTCGCCCAGCTCTAATTATTGGCAGCTTTGAGTTCCGTAACTAAAGACCATGAGGTGAGAAAACATGTTCTATCTGCTCTATCAAAATCGTTAGATCATTCGTAGTCGTGATCAAAATATTCACAGAATTGCATTCGAAGAAAGTAAAAGCTTGACACGATGTGAAACACAAAATCTTGGACGCAAATATCTCAAAACTAAGTGCTGAGCTGAGAGAGTTTTGTAATTCTGAGAGAGCTAACAACTGACACTGACTTTTTCTGCTTCTTACAGGTTCACCGATGTCCAATCAACTGTTTTTGTCCAACTTTTTCGGCGGTTCCGACTCTCCACAAGAGCTGGCTCTCGTGAGGTCTCCTCTCATCAGGTACACGTACCAAACCTGCCAGCTTAACTTTTACTACAAGTTCTCTGATTCGTCCTGTGGGCCCCTTGAAGTCCTTTTACAGGTGATTTGTTTTGTTTTGTTTTATTTAATTTATTTTTTATTTAGTTCTGTTTATAAGATGTCTGTTTTTATTTTTTGCTGTCTCATATTTTCCTTCTCATTCTGTTCATCGTGGAAGAAGGGGAAGCGGATGGGTAGGGTATGAAATATGTCTAAGTAGGCAGAAGTTGTCGTTTCCAGGAGATATGTTATTTTTTAGCTAAAGTAAATAAGGACCGTGGAATGAACGAATGCAAATAATGTTCAATGAAGAAGATGCAACACATGTGAGGGGGATTTTTAGGAGGGAGAGATTGTTTACAGTATAAATATGTGTGTGTGCGTGTGTGTGTGTGTGTGTGTGTGTGTTTGTGTGTGTGTGTGTGCGTGTGTGTGTGCGTGTATGTGTGTGAGAGAGAATGTGTGTGTGTGTGTATGTGTGTGTGTGTGTGTGTGTGTGTGTGCGTGCGGATGTATGTATGTATGTGTGTGTTTGGGGGGTGGGGTAGGAGGATAGGTTTTGTTTAGACTCTATGGACTCTGATACGGAAAACTCTTTCTGAAGTCAACGCACAAAAGAATAATAGAAAGAGGTAAGAGAGGCCAACATTATCTTTTCAAATCTGCTACAACACATGCACATTTGACCGTACTCATGCCTGTGTATGTTTGTTTTATTATTATTATTATTATTATTATTATTATTATTATTATTATTATTATTATTACTATTATTATTATTATTATTATTATTATTATTATTATTATTATTATCATTATTATTATTATCATTATCATTACTATTATTGTCATTATCATTATTGTCATTATTGTTATTATTATTATTATTATTATTAATATTATTATTATCATTATTATTATTATTATTACTATTCTTTACTGTTGGAGGGGTTACAACTCCTGGTTGGAGGCATACGCCTCTTCTCCCTCACCACCACCACTCCCGCCCCCCCCCCTTTTCAAAGAGAAAAAACAACATAGAAAAACAAGAAAATCCCCAACTGCACCCTCATAACACATTGTGTAATGTTATTACTGTCTACAACTTCTATTTATTTCAGTTTGAACGAGAGCTGATTTCTGTCCTGACTGTAGACCAGGCTTCCCTGTATACGTCGGGTGTGTGGACACTAGGCTCAGTTGTCATCGGTAGGGTGACCAAGTCTTTCAGCATCCTCTTCGGAGGTGGACGCGGTTGGTAAGTGTGAGTTTTATAGGATATGTTTCAAAGAATAGAGCTGCGTACAAAACATGTATTTGGGGTTTAATGCTTCTCCTCTATTAACCCTGGCAGGTTATTTTGGAGGCGTTTTTTTGTGTTTGTGCGTGTGTGTGGGGGGGGGGTGTTTGATGTGTGGCCAATATCTCCAACATGGAGAACAGCTGATAAATAGAGTGGGGGTCGTTGTTGAAGGGCTACATCCTGTACTAGAAAAACAACGCCTAGAATAAAAGAAAGAAAGAAAGAAAGACAGACAGACAGAAAGGAAGAAAGAAAGACAGACAGAAAGAAAGAAAGACAGACAGAAAGAAATAAGAAAACATTACGGTGACATTTTTATTAGTCTATAGTTTTGCTAGACCGGTCACTCGACATACATATGGCAGGCTGAACATACAGCTGGTTCTTGAATTTATATTCAGAGTGAAGAAAGGTACTTATCATACGCCAGAGGAGTTTTTGGACAGTTCTATTTACAGCAAGCGAGCATGGTCATTGGAACATTGTGTAAAATACATATTTAGGCAATACCAAAACTGAAACAAGCCCTAAGTGCATCTACGTGTGCCTCTACTCAAATAAACACACAAGCCCGAAATGGAGAGGAACAGAACAAATTAAAACACAACATAGAATTCATAGAATGGTGTGTATATCTTGTTTTCGACTTTTTTCTATTCAGTTGGCTTGGCTTTGTCTCAATCGATGACATCGCACTGGTCAACTGTGCAGCGCCTCCCAAAACTACCTCAACCTGCGACCAATCACAATTCACATGTGGTAGTGGCCACTGTGTGGACAAGGTGCTGACCTGTGACCTCTCTGATGATTGCGGGGATGGTACCGATGAGCGAACATGCAATAACGTAAGTGGTCCGCTTTGTAGATACCTTACTCTTATGATGTTAGCAGCAGTCTCCAAAATAATGTACATATTCATCTTTCCATCATCATCATCATCATCATCATCATCATCATCATCATCATCATCATCATCATCATCATCATCATCATCATCATCATCATCATTAGCGGCGTGGGTTGTCTTGTGGTTAGGCTACTGGACTCGTAATCGTGAGATTGCGAGTTCGGGGTTTCGAGCCTCAGCTCTGTTCGACGCTGTGTCCCTGGGATAGGCTTTTTACACGAATTTCCCATTTCGCTCGATCTTTTCGTAGATTGACGTTAAACTTGGAGGTCACACCTCTTAAATAACCTAACAGTGTTGTTAGGGACGTTAAAACGACACCATTTTCATCATCATCATCATCATCATCATCATCATCATCATCAGCAGCAGCAGCAGCAGCAGCAGCAGCAGCAGCAGCAACAGCAGCAGCAGCAGCAGCAGTAGCAGCAGCAGCAGCAGTATTATGCAAAAATCAGTAAGCTTCAATTTACCCAAAGAGAGCGCAGAAGAAACAAACTCCGATAGAAGTGCCTACTGTATGACGATGTGAACAGCGAAGATGAACAACAATCGTACCCAGACTTCATCGTGAAAGAGCTGAAGCGTGCCATAACACAAATGAAAAGGAGGAGTGCCCCAGGACTTGATGATTTACCACAATCATTCCTAAAAGAGCTTTACCCATTCGCATTTAAAAAATTGTTTTGCATATGTAATATGTCGCTTAACCAAGCAGCTTGCCCACAAGGCTGGCGAAAGGCACTTATCATTCCTGTCTTGAAAGCTGGCAAGTCACCAAGTGATATGACATCCTTTTGATCCATTAGTTTGACATCCTGTGTCGTGAAAGTTGTAGAAAGGGTGAATGCTGAAAGAATTTACTACCTGTCAGAGACGAAAGAATGTATTGCAGATATTCAGGCAGGCTGTCGCCAGGATCATAGCTGCACCGACCAAATCATCAGAATCTGACAAGGAATTGAGTGTGGTTTTCAACAAAAGCCAACATTCCATCGATCATTCCTAGTCGTGCTGGACTACCCAAAGGCATGAGATAAGCTTTGGCGTGAAAGACTAATACTGTCAATGGCTAACAAGGGAGCTCCGTTGCATGCAATCATATGGATCCGTGATTTCCTGAGAAAAAACCCTGCACGTGTTCGTCTGAATGGAAAAACAAGCAAGAGCAAGAATTTCAAGTAAGGGTTTCCCCAAGGAGCTGTACTATCACCGCTGCCGTTTATATTCTTCATAAACAACCTTGCAGAATCCCTCCCAAACCCTGACTCACAACAACTAAACTCCGCCAAGCTGATCTACTCCATGTTCACTGATGACTGCACAATATGGGCCAGTCACGCAAAGAGAGAAAAGGCAAATGAAGAGACACAGTTGATTGTGGAGCAATGAAGGGAAAGCTTCTTCTCAACATGGGTGAAACAGCAACGTGGCAACCAATAATTCAGATCGAAGGGGAAAAGATACCATTCAATCCCACTCCACGCCTTCTAGGCTTCTATCTGGATAGACAGCTAACCTTCAACAAGCATATTTAGGAAACGTCCAAAACTGCAACCTCAAAAATGAAGGTGATCGGTGCTGTCAGCTACTCAAAATGGGGCTGGGGTAAGGAGTCGCTCAAGAAGGTATATCAGAAGTTTTGTGAAGAGCAAGATGGACTATGCTGCTACGCTGGGGCAGCCTTGGGTGAGTGAGACAAGTGCAAAGGCCCTGGACAGAATACAAAACAAAGCCCTCCACCTTCTATCACGTCACCTCAAAACAAAACCAACAGAAGCGCTGCACTATGAGACCAGAACTGAGCACTACACCTCCTTTACAAAAAGAACATGCGCCAAGTCTGTAGAGATGGCTAAGACAACCATCCTAGAAAGAAAACCCTTCATCAAGCAGTCTAGCCTAAAAACAGCAGGAAAAGTTGGTTTCGGATGGGTACCGACCGAGCAGACCACCTCCGCCCTGTAGCAGAGAATCGACGGCCAATCAATCTGGTGAGAACGTGTCCACGGGATACCCAAGGCGAATTCGAAATCCGGACAAAATTGAGAGGAGTGAAGAGTAAAGGTGATGATCCTGTAAATGCACGTGAAGCTGCAGAGGATGTGATCAAGGAGGTTGGTTTGACAATTTTCTCTGATGGATCAGAAGTGGGGTGATACCGCGAAGGTGGAGCAGCAGCAATGGTGATAATCAATGATGAACCACAACGAACAGAGATAATTAAAACTAAAGATGCATTCTTTACATCATGTTATGATGAGGAATGCCAGGCAATGATGTCTGCTGCACAATGGATTGCTGACCATTGCCACAGTAGAACCAATGTGCTGATCTTGACTGACAGTCAGTCCCTCTGCAAAGGACTGCTAGTGCTAGGCAACAGCTCAGACATAAATGATTTGTACCGCTAGTTCAGTGAAACCACAGCCACAATAAAAATCCTGTGGATTTCAAGCCATGTTGGAATCAAAGGAAATGAGGCAGCAGACCAAGCTGCTAATGAAGCCAGAGAGACGACCAACAGCATACAGAGGAGTCTTTCCTATGATCAAGAAGGAAATCAGAGACCCTCCATGCAAAGCTAAGTACCAGCACCTGGAAGATGTGTTTTCTGGGTACCCCAATAAGCAGGAATAAAATATCACTTGTCGCTTGGACCAGGTTGAGCTTTTTGAATGAAGAGAAAACGAGGATGTCAAACATATGTTTGAATGTTCAGGAACAATGGCAATTCGAATGGAGTTATTTGGACAAGTGGAGGTGCCTCAAGTATAATGACAATGGAGCCGAAAAAGAGCCTCGCTCTCGCTCAAAGATTTCTTCGAGGAGTCCACCAGGTCCATTAAGAAAACAAACAAAAAGCATTATCATCATCATTGTCGTCATCATTCCAGCCGTCTTATGCAAATGCACACGAGAGTGACAAATAACAACATCAATAACAACTACAACGACAACAGCAACAAGAACAACAACAACTACAACAACATCTACAAATGCAACAGAAAAATTACCACGGCAACATCAACGGCAACGAAAACACTGCCTTGGGTAGTAGGCGGGTGCTTTGGTGTGGTTTGTTCCTTTTTTTCTGTCAGACTTCTATCGTGCTTATCTCTCCTTCTCCTTTTTCGTGTTTGTTTCTCTATTGTAACACCTCTAACTCTAATCTTCGGTACTTATATGACCGTATTGTGTTGCAAGTGCCATAAAACGCTACATAAAAAAATAAAAATTAAATAAATAATAAATAAATAAATAAATCTCTGCCTCAGACCGGCCAGGCGTGTGACTTTGAGAGTCAGTCTCTGTGCGTGTGGCGCCCAGACCCCTCGTCCTCGTGGAGACGTGGCACTGGGAGAGAGGCGCTGACGCCAGGTCGTGACCACACTACCGGGACTAGTAGAGGACACTTCCTGTACCAGGAAACCCCGCAGCACGCGGGAACTGCTCGACTCATCAGCGATACCTTCAGGTGATCTTTTTTTTTAGTTAATAAATTATTTTCGTAAAATGTGCAAGCGATCAAGAATGTTGGAGTGTCGAGGAGAATGAATTGAAATCTAAAGTGTTTTGTAACTTTGCAGGAATCTAAAAAAACTCAAGAGAAACGTTCTGCGTTTGGAGAGACATTATTGAGGCCCACTTTGGGGAAGCTTGTTGTTTATGATATTTTGTAGCCTCACCTGTAAAAACAGTAATATATTGATTTTTACTAACACTCATTAATACAACCCCCCCCCCAAAAAAAAAAAAAAGAAAAGAAAAATGCCACCGAAAAGAAAAAGCTACAACCAAGATAACGAAAGAGCTCTTATTTGTAATACCGAAATCTGAAGTGTGGGCTGTAAAATGAGCACTCTTTGGATATTTAATGTTCCTGGGATACACCTGTCTCTCCCCGAAACAAAATTATATAAGATATCAAAACTTTGTGTCCGTAGTTAGGAAAGATTTCACAGACCCATCAGCTCTGTTTTTTTCGGAAAGTGATTTTTTGGCTTTCTAAACAGCATTTTCTCTCACATAATTATTTGAAACCTTTTCTTTACTGCTACCAACATCTGCCAGAGCTGCCTCAACTGCCGACAACTGTCGCCTGACTCTCCACTACTTCACACAAGGCGATCCACGGTGCACCCTCACCGTATTCACCATGACCTCTGATCCAGGTCAACTCAACACGCTCTTCAAGATACCAATGACGGGCCAGAACTTCTGGAACCGTCGCGTTGTCCAGCTCGTGTCAGCTTCCAATTTTCAGGTGATAATCCAGCTGGACGGCCCACGAGATGCTAGAGCGAAGGCTGCTATTGACGACGTGTCCTTCAGCATGGGTTGTACCCAGAGTGGTGCTAAGTTACCAAGCCCATCGCAGCCTATTTCAACAACAACAACACCCATAACAAACACATGCGGGTAAGAGTTTCATTTCCTTCTGCATCATAAGAATCTAGTACGTTTTTATAAAAGGCATACACAGTTGAAACAGCGCAAGCAACATTAAACTTTAAAGGCTGCAGCTCTGTTGCTTCTGTGTTCATGGCGCTATTTCGATCCCAAAAGACGCTGCTTTCCAACAACCAAAAATTGTATTTAGAGCAAATAAGAGAACTAACCTATTAATTTCTCTTATGAACACAGGTTCCCTTTATTTGACAATACATTTCTGATCAAAGTATGCACATGGCGACATCTTTTTTTAAGTGGAGTAGAAAGGTAGGACTTTACCTGCTGAACAGTTATATCTTCCGACATAGAATATCATTAAGGATGTGTATTTTGTCACTAAGTTTCAATGTCCGTAGTCTTCCTGGTAGTCCTTTCAACTCTCACACGTCCCTTGTGTTTATATCTTGTTCCAGTAGGGTCATGGTTAAAATTTTGTCTTATATATGTATATACAACAGATATGAGTTCCATTCTAGCGACAGAAAGACTTATATCAACTATCTGTGCCGTTCTGCTGGGTTGTATCCCACACAGTCAATGTTAGCCGTCAATGTAGAGCCAGAGCATCCCTTTTCTTAAATTAACAAAATTATTGTCTCATATGGCAGCGTGAAAAAATACAGTATCACAATGCAGTAAGACAAATACTCTGGCTCACAAAGTAGTCTTTTTCGCTTTTTCTTATATCCCAACCCTAGCGACGAAATGTTCCCTTGCGGAGACGGCTCCTGTGTGTCACATGACCTTGTGTGCGACATGCTGCGGGACTGTCCTGGAGGCGAAGACGAAGCTGCATGTGGTCAGTCGTGTGAGTTTGAACAGGGTTCGACTTGTGGCTGGCACTCTCTCAGCTCAGGGGCCTTCGACTGGTCCATCCGTACACCAAGTACGGCCGACAGCGTCGGACCTTCCGTAGACTGGGGATTGGGGACAGCGGCAGGTCAGTACATGTATGTCTCGCACAGCCACGGGATCCATACGTCAGACGCTGTGCTTGCCAGTAACTCCATGCCAGCGGTCAGAGCGTCTTGCAATGTCTCTTTACACTACTACATGAGTGGAAACATTGCAGGGAGTCTGTACCTCGAGGGAAATTACAGAGGGGCAGTGCTGTTCCGGAAGTTACTCTCCGCCAGTTCGTCTATAGGTTGGACAGGTTTCGAACTCTCTATTGGAGCAGCGTTGCGTGATTCAGGCTTGAGTCACACGACTTACGTAAAGGGTGGGTGGCAGCTGAAGATTGTGTTCTCAACAAAGGAAACATACTCGCCTGACTCGCATATTACTAATATAGCCGCTGTGGACAGTATTCGTTTCACGGGCTGCTCCAGGAACCTGTGGGATGATTCGTCCTGTGATTTTGATAGCGGGGATACGTGTTCTTGGCTTCAGGTGTCGAGCGATGCTTTCGACTGGGAGCTGCAGAAAAATGTCACCTATGGACCTGACGGAGATCATGCTGGGGTTGACGATGATGGTGATGACGACGGAACATTTCTTGTGGCAGAAAGCGCGGGTCAACATCTTTGGGACGAGGCTGTGTTAGAAACACCGTATCTTGGTCGCACAGACGCCCCCGGTATGGTGTGCCTTATGTTCTGGTACTACATGCGTGGGTCTGAAGACGGAAATCTTTCAGTGAAAACAACAGAAGCAATGTTTAGAAACACTTCCGGGTCTGTGACGGGTGGGGTGAGCCAAGAAGTATTTCACCACGCCGGCGCTGGACCGGAGAAATGGGTGGCGGGTTTCGCGGAATACAAAGCGTACAACAGACACAAGATCAGTATAACAGCTACTGTGAGCGGAGGGAAGTTTGGCGACATCGCAATAGACGACATCCGAGCGACCAACGGTTCGTGTCCTCCACAAAGTGTGTGCACTTTTGAGCAAGGCCTCTGTGGCTGGGCTGTGACCAGTCAAACTAACATGTGGACGATCAGCAAAGCTAACAGCAGCTCTTCACTATCCGTACCTATGACTGACCACAGCACGGGTTCAGTATCCGGTCACTTTGTTTTGTTGCAAGCCCCTCCCGGAGCGGCTCCCGGAGTTGAGTCTACGATGACCAGTCTACTCATGACGTCAACGTCGTCCGTGCAGTCCGGGAGTGCTGTGTGTCTGGTCTACTGGTATCGGATGGGCGGCGCAGTAGCTAATGAAATCAGCGTGTACCGGTATGACGCTAACGTTGAAACACCAGCATTGCTGTTGCAGAGAACTGGGCCAGTAGATGATTTCTGGAGAAGGGAGTATGTGAATGTAAAGCCTTCTCTGAACAACAACTATCATATCAAAATCATTGGAAGTTTAGCTGGAGCCAGCAGCTATGTTGCCCTTGATGATCTCGTCTTGCAAGATTCCGCTTGTCCCAGTCCAGGAAACTGTGACTTCGACGAGGGTATGTGTGGATTTTCCAATGTTGCTGGCTTGGATCAGTTTGACTGGGTGCTTGACGTAGGTGAATCGAGCACCGGTTCAGCCAATGGTTTTGTGACAGCCCGTGTGGACACTGGTATCAAAACTGGGAACTCAGCAATTCTGGTAAGCGACCCCTTTCAGAACAAAGTGAATTGTGGTTTTGTATTGAAGTTTAAAATAAAAATTTCTGATCCTACCTCGTATAAGGCAGACCCAGGCGTTTCCGTTTATTCACGGAGTCTTTCGGCACCCTTTTCTGGTAAACTTCTGTTGAAGAAACTCGGGCTACAGCCGACAAATGCCTGGACAGACATTTCTTTACCTATCCCAAATTTATTTGCAAAGCTTCAAGGAGTGCAGGAATTGGTGTTTGAGTACGTGTACCCTGGAAGTAGTAACGTAGTGGTCAGTCTCGATCAGATGGACTTGGACGCAGACTGCCCAAACGTCCCTGGCCTCTCAACTCCAGGGACAACGTCTACATCTTCCAGTACAGCAACCCCTGCAAGCTCCAGTGGGAATTCAGGAACAAGGTTTGTTTTGTCTAAAAGCATAGACCTTTTCTACTCTAGCCAACCGGCCGAACCTCCCCATACTTTAAAAAATATATATTTCAAAATTGCTGTCTCCCAGTGTGTACTATTTAATGTCTACGTAATACCACACCGGAAATGTCGGTGGCCTTGTGGTTAGGATCACGGACCTGCAACGGTAAGGTCGTGGGTTCGAACCCGATGTTGTGTCCTCAGGAAAGCCACTTTTCACGAATTTTCCTCACTTCACTCTGGTGGGAATAGGTACCTAGCGATAGATTTTTTCAGTTTGTTAGTGTTTAAGCGGGAATTGTGGTGCTTGCACTGTATGCTTCCAGGGAAGCTGAGAATGTTTCTGACTCTCCAAGGGCCTGTTGGGGTAATGGTAGTTGTAAAGCGCAAGGAGGATGCAATAGAGCGTGGATATGGGCTACATATTATTATTATTATCTTTATTATCTTTACTATCTTTACTACTACTACTACTACTACTACTACTACTACTACTACTACTACTACTACTACTACTACTACTACTACTACTACTACTACTATCATTATTATTATTATTATTATTATTATTTTTATTATTATTATTATTATTATTATTATTATTGTTATTGTTATTATTATTATTGTTATTATTATTATTATTATTATTTGTGTTATTGCTGTTATTTTTATTGTTATCATCATTATTATTATTATCATCATTATTATTATCATTACCATTATTACCGATATGTTCTTCCCCGTCTTGGTCATGTGCTATTCTATTGTTATGTTTTTGAAAGGTGTTGTGCGACCTCGATTTTGTGGAATGAATAGCAATAGTCGTGAGAGAGGCAATTGCAATTGGCCAGATAGGTATTGTAATGATACAATCAAAAGTTTAATTAAACAGCCTATACATTATGTCTTGTATTCACCGGGCTGACTTAAGTTTGTTATAACTTTACTTAGACCATATTATTATTATTAAACACAGACCATTCCTTCATTTCCATGCACTGTCAGCAGCAGTGGCCCCACCAAAGGTAGAAGAAGCAGCAGCAGCAGCACACCTAGCACCACCAGTGGTAGAAGCAGCAGCAGTAGCAGCAGTAGCAGCAGAAGCAGCACAAACAGTGGCAGTGGGGGTAGAACCAGCACCCCTAGCAGTATCAGCAGGAGTACGACCAACAACGGAAGGGCCGGAAGCAGCACTTACACTCCGTAATATTATCATACTTTGCTTTGCTTCTTTTCAGTTTTAGGAACAGTTTTACGACACTTGCTACACAATAAGGTCATCTAAGCCCAAAAGATTAGAAGTATTACAAGAGAGTAATAAACACACAAAAATAAGGAGTGGAGAGCAAGAAGGTATACGTTTGATATGTAGTAGTAGTAGTGGTAGTGGTGGTGTCGGTGGTAGTGGTGGTGTCGGTGGTAGTGGTGGTGTCGGTGGTGTCGGTGGTGTCGGTGGTGTCGGTAGTGTCGGTAGTGTCGTTGGTGTCAGTGGTGGTGGTGGTGGTGTCGGTGTCGGTAGTGTCGTTGGTGTCAGTGGTGGTTTCGGTGGTGGTGTCGGTGTTGGTGTCGGTGGTGTCGGTGGTGGTGGTGTCGTTATCTGTATTCAGGTCTGGTCGAGGTGACATGGTGGTCTCGGCAATAGGCTGGTATGTGAGTAGCAACAGCAGCAGTAACAATAATAACATCATCATTAACTCTCTCTCTCTC